ATTTTCATATGCATTTTACTAATTTCCTTTCATCTCTCACACTTCTATTATAGAGAAAGGGCAAAAAGCAATATTAAAATATCTCCGCTAATTAATTCCCTTTTTAAAAAAAAATATATTTTATTGATTTTTTACAGAGAGGAAGGGAAAGTGATAGAGAGTTAGAAACATCGATGAGAGAGAAACATCAATCAGCTGCCTCCTGCACACTCCCCACTTGGGATGTGCCTGCAACCAAGGTACATGCCCTTGACCAGAATCGAACCTGGGACCCTTGAATCCGCATGCCGATGCTCTATCCACTGAGCCAGACTGTTAGGGCAATTAATTCCCTTTTAATGTGCATGAATTTCTTGCACCGGGCTACTAGTATCAAAATAAAAAGCTTCTGCACAGCAAAAGAAACCATCAACAAAACACGAAAGTCCATTGCATGGGAGAACATATTTGCCAATGTTATCACCGATAAGGGTTTGATCTCCAACATTTACAGGGAACTCATAACTTAACAAAAGGAAGATAAACCACCCAATTAAAAAAATGGGCAACAGACCTAAATAGATACTTTTCGAAAGATGACATAAGGAAGGCCAAGAAACATATGTAAACATGCTCAAAGTCACTAATCATCCGAGGGATGCAAATCAAAACAACAATGAGGTACCATCTCACACCTGTCAGACTGGCTATCATCAACAAATCAACAAACAACAAGTGCTGGCGAGGATGCAGAGAAAAAGGAACCCTCGTGCACTGCTGGTGGGAATGCAGACTGGTGCAGCCACTGTAGAGAACAGTATGGAGTTTCCTCAAAAAACTAAAAATGAAACTCCCATTTGACCGAGTGATCCCACTTCTAGGAATATATCCCAAGAAACTAGAAAGATCAGTCAGAAAGGATATATGCACCCCTATGTTCATAGCTGCACAATTTACCATAGCTAAGATTTGGAAACAGCCTAAATTCACATCAGCAGATGAGTGGACTAGAAAACTGTGGTACATCTACACAATGGACTACTAAGCTGCTGTAAAAAGAAGGAACTCCTACCATTTGCAACAGCATGGATGGACCTGGAGAGCATTATGTTAAGTGAAATAAGTCAGTCAGAGAAAGATAAATATCACATGTTCTCACTCATTTGTGGAATATAATGAACAACATAAACTAATGAACAAAAACAGGTCTAGAGACAGAGAAGCATTGATCAGACCGTCAAACCTCAGAGGGAAAGGAGGGGAGGGTGGGGATAAGGGGGAGAGATCAACCAAAGGACTTGTATGCATGCATATAAGCCTAACCAATGGACACAGACATGGGGTGAGGGTTGGGGGGGGGGGTGAGGGCTTGCGCGGGGGGGGGGGTGGTGGTTATGGGGTGTTAAGGACACCTATGTAATATCTTAATCAATAAAGAAAACTTTAAAAAAAGAGACAGAACTTGGGGTGGTGAACACACAATAAAATATACAGATGTTGTATTATAGAAATGTACACTGGAAACCTATTTACTTTTATTAACCAATGTTGTTGCAGTAAATTCAATTAAAATTTTTATTTATTTATTTTTGCACAAATAAAATTTTAATATCATAAAGCAAATCAGAAAACAGCAACAAAAAAAAATTTAACCATTCACAATTAAAGTGGAAAGAGACAAAATTATAAGGTAGCCATACATGGAATGATTTCATTTTTATAAAGGACCCAGAAAATGAAAAATTTAAAATCACTGTTCAGGCCACTTCACCAGTGGAACTGCAGTATATCTCAGGAGTCTTCCAACTTGCTAGAAGATGCTATCAGAAAAAAGATCAAACCAGTCTCCTTATGTTAGGCTGAGCATAAATGAGCATATCCCTAATGGCTGTCTTGTCCTTTCCTACAAGTCACAAATTTCTCTCAGGTCTCCGAAGGTGAATCTAGATGTCTCAGGTACAAAGGGGCCACATCATTGGTTTTAATTTCATAGCATCTCCAACAGTGCTCTCTGGGTGATGTGAACCATTCTGTATTGAGCAGAAATTCCCCTTCAGAACACCCAGAGCGGGTTCTCACCTGGCACTGTAGCAGTTTTGGATGAGTCTAGTCTTTATTCTTGTTCTATCAAGAGGTCCAGGGGCCCCATATGCAAGAACATTCTTTGGGGTCTTGTGCTGTTGACATACAGTTTCCATGTTCAGTACTAGCTACCATGTGTCTAAGGGACTTAATACACTTGATGCTGGAGTGTCCTCCTAGTTCTAATCTTTGAAAAGGAGAAAAACCAGGCAGTGACACTTAGTAGTAGGCCAGTACAAAACACAATGACATTTTCTCCTTTTTACAAAGACCTGGCCACTCAAAATAGCCACCTCTCTCTTTTTTCTAAAGATGATTCAAAATATAGGAACAGGGCTGACTCAGTTGATTTGATTAGGGAAAAAATGAGGTGATTTGGGGTGGGGTGGGGTGGGAAGAGAGAACACACAGTCTCTGTAGACGGTACTATTTCTAACCCTACACTCCAGTGCAGAACCTTTGCCTAAAGAAAAGAAATAAGATGAAATAAATGAGTTTTAAGATAAGCCAACATTGAGGCAAGTTTCAACCAGAGAGGGAGAGACACTCTGTCTTGTTTACAGCATTTTTATTCACCATTATTTTCATCAACTCAGCAAATATCTGAGAAACAGTGGACAACCAGTAAATATCCTATATACTAGTAATAAAAGCCCAGTGACCATAACAGCAAAACAACCAGAATGACTGGTCGACCAGTCACTATGATGTGCACTGACTACCAGGGGCCCAGACGCTCAATGCAGGAGGAGGGGGAGGGGGGCGCAGTGAGTCCTGGAGGCACACGCTATGGCCCAGGGATCCCAGGAACCGCAAGCCCAGAGCTTGCTTTCCAATAAAAATAAATAAATTGGGGGGGGGGGGGAGGGAGCGGCCAATGCTGCCACCTTGGGAAGAATGGCTCCAGGAGAGAAAGGCCTCCCCAGGCCCCGCCTGGCCCAGCTGGCACACCACGGGCTCGCAGGGACTCACTGGTGACTCCAAAGCCGGTCGCACTGACGGCTGCTCCCCCGTCCAGCTCCACGGGGGACGGAGGTAGTGCTGCAGGGCCACCTCAGCTCTGACTTTCAGCTTCTGGCTTCCTGCCCGCCCCTTTGCATACTACCTGTGCTTGGGGGCGTGGCTTCCCCCCACCTCCTTCCCTCCTTCTCCCCTCTCTCCCTCCCCCCTCCCCCCCAGCCAATAGCACTGCAGCACTGCCAGAGAGTGGCAGGACACAGCCACCAGCACTGGCTGGGCATTGATTTGGCCATGTGACTAAAGTCCTTGTGCAGTTACACTGCATGTTTACATTTGTAGGGAAGCAGGGCAGCCCTCTCCTGCCACCCACATCACCTTCTAGGCTAAGAAAGGCCTGCTGATCTCCATGTTTCTCCTCCCGTCTGGAATCAAAACCTCTTGGGGATGCATGATCCCAGTGATGGCCCCAACACATGCTCGATGTCACTGTCACAGACATTCTCAGTCATTATAACCTGTTCTTCAGCCCATAGTATCCTGCTCCACCCACTGCCACTCCTCACCTGTCACCCCCTAAGGACCACCTTATGTTTTCCTAGCTGAAATGTGAGCAAGATCTCAAATAACCCCCTTCAATAGCTCTCTTGCCTTACCTTTCTTCCTCTAAAAACCTTGCATTTTAAAATTATATATTTGATTGGTTTCAGAGAGGAAAATAGAGATAGAAGCATCAATGATGCTTCTGCATGTTACAAACTGGGGATCAATACCTCCCCTGACCTCTCCCCAATCCCTCCCCTGGCCAGCAGGCCCCCCCGGTGGTGGCACAGCACTGAGGGAAGGAGAGGGGAGGAGGTGGGGAACCATGGGGTGGCGGGGCACTGAGGGCAGCGTCAGTGTCTGGCATCTGTTCCTTCCGCACCCAGCCTGGCCACTGTCACCTCCTCTCCCGACCCCACCAGGGCCTTTGGGCCCTGATCGGCCTGGCCCTGATTGGCCCTGATCACCCACCAGGCCTAGGGACCCCCACCCATGCATGCATTTCATGCACCAGGCCTCTAGTATATTTATAGATTGAGTGCCAAGGTTGAGAAAACTTCTGTTCCTAAAACCAGATGACATAGATTACTGTGGTACTTGAGCCACTAAATATCTATTTTTGCATAAAGCAGTTTGACTTAGGTTTCTGTCCTGACTAATACAATGTTTTGTTTGTTTGTTGTTATTTTTAATTTAATTTATTGTTTAAAGTATTACAAATAGTAGTGCATATGTCTCTTTTTTTTTCCCCATTGACCCTCCCCTAGCCTTTCTTACCCCCCGGCACATGCCCTCACCCTCCACACCCTAGTGTCTTGCATCCATTGGCTATGCTTATATGCATGCGTACAAGTCCTTAGGTTGATCTCTTTAAATAATATCTTTAATTTTGATCCATATTTCACACTCATTCTTTCTCTGTTATCTTTCACCAATCCTTACCATTTTTTCTAAGCTATTTTCTCTTCTCATCATTTCTTAATTTTTTTCATTATTCCCCTCCTCCCACCGCCCTCCCACCCCTCCACCCTCCGCAAAATCATAATACTTGAAACTAGAAATTTTATTTGAGCTCTAGCTAAAATTATTCCATAAAGGAATGATATGAACAATTAGTCAAAGATTGGGTTAAAGATAAAATGAGATTATGCATGTAGTATTTCCAAACCATAAAGCATCATTGTATACATTGTAAGAGAGGGGGTTATTTTTATTTCATATCTTTTACATTTCCTTTTAAACACTTGTTTATTTTCCTTATTTTTCTTCCAATGATCCTCCTTTCTTTCCCTTTATATTGTTCTCATCCTCTTCCTTCCTCCCCCATTCATAGCTTTCATTTTCCTTCTTCCCCTTTCCCTCAATTTTTTTATTTCTCCCTTTCCTTTCTCCCTCCCTTCATGATTGGTGTGCAGTGTGATGAGTCACCCTGAGGTGTTAAATACTCAGTCTAAATTGGTGAGAAGAGTCAGAGGAGTTTGCACTCCTGCATCAGCCAGAGAGAGTAATGGAGCAAACTGAACTCTCCACAGACACAGCTAACAAAGTAAGTCATGGTTTTCTCTTGAAATGTGTATGATCCTATTAGTAGGTAAAACCCAATATCTAATGCTGCATTGAAGTTCTCATGGGATATGTGTGCACCATGCTTTACACAGTGCAAGTATTCCATGTAATTTGTAAGTCAAATTTTAAGAAACAAGATCATAACTGTGATAAAATAAGAACTGCTATTATTTAAAGAAACATCTTACTCTTTCTGTAAAGTAAAGTAATCTTTTATAAAATTAAAATCATCCTCCAAATGCAGTCACTGATTAATTTAGGTGGGGAAATCAATCAATAAATATATAAGCTTAATCTGTATAGAGATTTAAAAATAAAAATGCAATAAAGAAATCATTTACAAGACACAGGAACTAAGTACCAAGGTAAGATAAGATGTTCTATGTTCTATGAGTGAAATTGACTAAACAAACAAAATTAATATTTTTGTCTTGTATCATTTCTTATAATTTTCTTTGCATTATGAATTCTAATCTGTTTTAAATAAATGGTTAATATTAAAAATTATAATGCAGAAATTTAGAATCTAAAACTGAACTGTGCTCCAATGATCAGTTGGCCAATATTAGCATCGTGTATCATTTGGAATGCAGAAAAGATATTTCCTAAGATAAAGTGTATCAATCAGATTTATGTGATAAAACTATTTCTTAAACAAACACTATCTACTGTATCATAGGATGACATGAGATGCATATAGAGAGAAAAACATTCATCTAATATTTCTACAGACAGATAAGTATATAGATATCACTGGTTTCACATTACAACATTGTAAATTATCATTCACACATGTGATTGCTTTCATTGAATGCAATAGATCATCTGCATTTCAAAGTGACATAACCAAAATGATCAGTCAGCATAGAAGTGAATTTAACTATGTTTTTCACCTAATTTTAGTTTCATGGCAGTAAATTTTCATGTTTTTTTAAATAGGTGATTTTATGCAGGGCAGCCATTGCCTGGAGGGCAAATGCTCCCCTGTCCATTGAACTACTTGAAGTTGATCCACCAAAGGCTTGTGAGGTTCGAATTAAGGTAAATATAAATGATACTTTTTGCAGGTATGCATGTGGATATTTGTGTTTACAATAATTTTACAATTTTAGAAGAACAAGTGTCATTTTCTATTTAAAAATAATTAAGGGTCTCTCTGATTTACATGTAGATCTGTATTAACATTTATAATAGTGAGATTATTTCATTTTGTTAAAGTGGCAAATATAATAAATGCTGAAATGTCTTTTAATGTTTTAGATGCACTTTTTTTTAATACTTTAAAAGTCAACACAGGTAATTATTGACCAAAAAACTTCTTGGGTTTTTCACAATTATAAAGTTATTCCAAATGCTGCTATATAATAGGGCAGACATTCTTCTCAGTCATGGCTGAGAAAACAAGGGTACCCTGCCCTGACCCAGCTCCTACTTATAGAAAGCTGTGGAACCCCATCAAGCATATCAACATATGCATAATCAGTGTCCCAGAAGGAGAAAAGGGGGCCTAGAAAATTAAAATATTAATTGCTGAAAACATTTCCAAATATGCTGAAACATTAACCTACATATCTGAGAAGCCCAATGAATTTCAAGTAGGATAAACACAGAGATCTACAATATCATAGACATATCAAGCCAAATTCTGTGTTCAAAGACAAAGACAAAGTTTTAAAAGAAGCCAGAGAAAAATGACACATCATATACAAGAGAACCCCAATAAAATTAATATAAGAAGCAATGAAATCCAGAGGGTGGAGAGATAACATATTCAAAGTGCTTGAAGAAAAAACTGTCAACCAAAAATCCAGCAAAACTATCTTTCAAAAATGAAGGTAATTTTCTCTATATCCTGGCCAACACTTGTTGTTTGTGGAAAACAGTATGGAAGTTCCTCAAAAAATTAAAGATGGAACTGCCTTATGATCCAGCAATTCCACTTGTCCTTTTGGATATTAGCTACAAGTCATGCAACAGGTTGCCAGGATCAGGATAGGAAACATAACATGTTTTAACTTTTTCTATTGAGGATGGGAGGAGGGCATTAAGAGCAATGCAAAAGAGAAGCATATATACCTTGATACCCAGGAGTCCCCTCTATATATTTAAGTATAGGTATCAAAATAGACCATAAATTTTGGGTTGTCTATTTCATCACATCCCATAGAACACATAGCTCTTCCTGGCAAAGAGCTAGAAAATACTTCAATGATAATGTTAAATTCACTGTGATGTTAAAGAGGCCTAAATAAAATTATAAAGACAGAGACAAACTAAGTGTTTTGGTCTGTTTTCTGAACTAGCTATACTGCAAGAGTGCAATCAATAACATATCAAATATATAGTCAAGGTTTTAAAGAATATATTCTGTTGCTAGTTTGGAAAATATTGCATTTTTCTGAAAGATCCAATTTTATGACAAAGCGTTTTATCTCCAATCATTTAATCACCTTTCAGATTCTATCTTCTGGGATCTGTGGTACCGATCTGCACATCCTAGAAGGGAGAAACAAAGTACCTCTTCCTGCAGTTTTGGGCCATGAGGGAGCTGGAATTATAGAGAGTGTTGGAGAAGGTGTAACCTCTGTGAAACCAGGTAATTGGACAAGATATGGTGCCAATCCAGTAAATTCTCCTTTCCTAACTCACTCCCTGACATTTCCCCAAACCACCTGAGAGAGCCAAAGTCATCACACAGTAACAAAAATATTTAAATGCATTCACACACATATATAAAAAATAGTCAGCCTAAGATTCAGAATCTTCAAAATGGGTGTTTATCTGAAAAAACTCAAATAAAAAGAAATTTTCTCCACTCATTTCCATAGAGATTATCTCTAGTCTACCCATCTCAAATTAAACTAAAAGCTGTAAATATATACAAGATATTGGAATATCATCAGATTAAAATTATGTATGGTTAAAATTTTTTTCTAGATACACACACATATCACATATGATAATCCTTTAAATTGTCTGTAGCATCTATAAAAGTTTCATCAAGAATTTGCAATTGCTTCTTCCACATTGGATACAATTCGTGTTCCAAACACTTTGGATAATGCTTTACAATATCACATTTTCCAACCACAAAGATGTCATAGATATTTTATACCTATTTTATGTATGAGAAAATATAAGCTTTGGCCAGCTAATCATCTTATTCAGTTGATTTAGCTACTTAGTGGCAGAGCTAGCATTGAAATACAGGTTGTCTTACCTCAAATTCTGCGCTCTTACTCAATAATATATCTCATAATTAGTAGTAATTCTAGCATTAACACTACAGTATTAATTCATTCTTTCAACAAATATTTATTAAGTACCTACTGAGTGTAACACTCTGCTATGCTCCTGGCAGAGAACACTAATCAAAGTGGACAAGCCTTATACCACAAATTCTTAGACTTAGGTCTCTATTGCCTTTGAGTCTCAATGTTATTAGAGAAAAATCTTCAATTTTTATTTTGTATTTTAAAGGTCTATTTGCAAACTCGGAAGGTTGAACACAGGTTCAAGTTGCCTTTGTTGGGGTTGCTCTGCTGAGCCAGGACACTTTGTGAGATTGGGGTCTGGCCACTGACTGTGGGGTGCAATGCCGCTTCTTGGGGTGTATGAGGAGTGCTGAGCACCCTGGGGAAGTCCAGAGCGGAGCTCTGTGCAGACTGTGGAAGTTGACTGCGTGCTCCCTTTAGATCTGTGTATATATCCAGATGGTTTTCATCCACTTTGAGTAGTTATCCGAAGAAGCCTATGACTTCTTACCTTCGATTTTCTGAAAAACAGCTAGCCATATATAAAGCTCAGAACCCAGATGCAAAAAATTCAGAACTACTATATTTTTCTGTGTATAAGATGCCCCCATGTATAAGATGCCCCCCAGTTTTCCAACCCAAAATTAAGAAATCAATATTTTAAACATAAAACAGAACACATTTTTATTTAGTAATTGCCACAGGTAATGTTTACATACCAGTATTATGATATTATCCTATCTAATAAAAGAGAAACATGGTAATTGGCATACGACCGCTACCCTTCCCATTGGCTAATCAGGGCGATATGCAAATTAACTGCCAACCAAGATGGTGGCCAGCAGCCAGGCAGCTTGAAACTAACATGAGGCTTGCTTGCTTCAGTGACAGAGGACTCCAACGTTCCCTGCCTGCCGCTGCAGGCCTCTGAGCTGCAACTCTAAGCAACTATGTAACAAATACAGAAGCTAAACAAAACCCCAGAAACCAGCTTTAGTCCGCCAGGCTTCAGCCAGCAGGATCGCAACATTGTAAGCAAAGGCCAGAAACCTACCTTCAGCAGCGAAGGCCTAAGAGCTGGAGCCAAGCCTCAAAGCTAAAGCTGGCCCAGAATAAAAAAAGAAAAAAGAAAAAAAGGAGCGGTTGGGAGCTTCAGTCACCCCCGGCCTGAAAACAGCCCTCAGCCCCTCACCCAGACTGGCCAGGCACGCCAGTGGGGACCCCCACCCAGAAGGGTGTGTGACCAGCTGCAAACAGCCATCATCCCCTCACCCAGGCTGGCCAGGCACCCCAGTGGGGACCCCTACCCTGATCCAGGACACCCTTCAGGGCAAACCAGCCAGCCCCCACCCGCGCACCAGGCCTCTACCGTATATAGTAAAAGGGTAATATGCCTCCCAGCACCAGGATCAGTGGAGCCGCGAGGCCTCCCGACACCGGGATCAGCATGACAGGAGGCAGCGCACAAACCCCCTGATCGCCCTGCGGCTCTGTGTGTGACAGGGTGCAGCGCCCCAACCCCCTGATCGGCCCTGCTCTGTGTGTGACGGGGTAGAGCTATAACCTCCCCATCAGTCCTGCCCTGAGTGTGACAGTGGCGGCGCCCCAAACCCCTGATCGGCCCTGCTCTGTGGGTGATAGAGGGCGGTGCCCCAACCCCCTGATGGGCCCTGCTCTGTGCGTGACAGGGGGCAGTGCCCCAACCCCCTGATTGGCCCTGCTCTGTGCATGACAGGGTATAGAGCCCCAACCCCCCTGATGGGCCTTGCTCTGTGAGTGACAGGGGGCAGTGCCCCAACCCCCTGATGGGCCCTGCTCTGTGCATGACAGGGTATAGAGCCCCAACCCCCCTGATTGGCCCTGCTCTGTGAGTGATAGGGGGTGGCGCCGCAACCTCCCCATCGACCCTACCTTGAGTGTGACAGGGGACGGCGCCCCAACCCCCCAACCTGCCCTACCCTGAGCGTGACTGAGGGTGGCATCACAACCTCCTGATCGCCCTACTCTGTGCATAACAGGGGGCGGCGCCCCAACTGCCCAATCGGCCCTGCTCTGAGCCCGACCAGGGGCTGCACCTAGGGATTGGGCCTGCCCTCTGCCACCCGGGAGCAGGCCTAAGCCAGCAGGTCCTTATCTCCTGAGGGGTCCCAGACTGCGAGAGGGCACAGGCCAGGCTGAGGGACACCTCCCACCCCCGAGTGCACAAATTTTTGTGCACCGGGCCTCTAGTACAGTATATCACTTTATTCAGCCTCTGTTGCATCACTGCTCTCTTCTTCATCACTATTAGTTCCAGACATATCAATTTCTTTGAATTCTATTGTATCACTGCTGTCTTTTGAGTCACTGTCTATATATGTGAGATCATCCTCATAAACTGGTGGCATTTTCTGAGATAACTTTGTTTTTGTTCTCATGGCCAACCCTTCTCTCCTCATGAAACTGAAGCAGCATTTTGCCTTTTCTGTAAAATCAACAATGTTCATTTCACTTGCAAACATTCTTGCCTGACATTGAGTAAGCTTGGTTGACACACATAAGACACTCTGGCCCTACTCCACAATCCAAGTCTTTTTTTTTTTTTTTTCTTCTGTTCATCAGATTATTTATTCACTTGATTCTTAGATTCACTTGTTGATAGATGCATATTTGTTGTTCATAATTTGTATCTTTACCTTTTTCTTCCTCTTCCTCTTCTTAAAGGATACCTTGCAGCATTTCATATAATCCTGGTTTGGTGGTGATGAACTCCTTTAGCTTTTCCTTATCTGTGAAGCTCTTTATCTGACCTTCAATTCTGAATGATAGCTTTGCTGGATAAAGTAATCTTGGTTTTAGGTTCTTGGTATTCATCACTTTGAATATCTCTTGCCACTCCCTTCTGGCCTGCAAAGTTTCTGTTGAGAAATCAGCTGACAGTCGTATGGGTATTCCCTTGTAGGTACCTGAGTTTCTTTCTCTTGCTGTTTTTAAGATTCTCTCTTTATCTTTTGCTCTTGGCATTTTAATTATGATGTGTCTTGGTGTGGTCCTCTTTGGATTCCTTTTGTTTGGGGTTCTCTGCGCTTCTTGGACCTGTAAGTCCATTTCTTTCACCAGGTGGGGGAAGTTTTCTATCATTATTTCTTCAAATAGGTTTTCAATATCTTGCTCTCTCTCATCTTCTGGCACCCCTATAATTCTGATGTTGGTACGCTTGAAGCTGTCCCAGAGGCTCCTTACACTATCCTCGCATTTTTGGATTCTTTTTTCATTTTGCTTTTCCGGTTGGGTGTTTTTTGCTTCCTCGCATTTCAAATCATTGACTTGATTCTTGCGGTCCTCTGGTCTGCTGTCGGGAGCCTGTATAATATTCGTTATTTCAGTCCGTGTATGCTTAATTTCTAGTTGGTTCCCCAATATAAGATCGAGGGTCTCATTAGTTTTCTTGTAGATCTCATTAAGTTTATCGGCGGCTTCTAAACAGTTCTTGAGAGACCTTAAAAGTGTGGTTCTGAACTCTATATCTTCCATTGACAATTTTGTCCTGTTTCTTTGTCTCCGCATTTTGTTATGCTTCCTTGGTGCACCCCCTAGTGGTCTTTGTTCACAGTCTTATAGTTAAATCTTGATTGTTGTAGCTAATTCCAGGGAGGGTTTGACCTCCAGGCCAAGTGGCTATGAGAATCAGCTGTGTCTGCAGTGAGAGAACTTCTGTCCTCTAGGGAGGTGCTAATCCAGCCTTTGCCTGAGGCTATCCGGCAAATGGCTCTGTGCAGGGCTTGGGGGGGGGGGGTGCGGGTCGCACAGGATCAACAGGGTGGGCCAGAGAGAGCAGTTATGGCGGCTCTCAGTCCTGTCCCCAGGGGCTCTGCCTCTCTGAGTCCCAGCACCCGCTGCAAACCTCGGAGAGAAAGCTGCTCTCGCTCTGACCGAAGCCAGACAGTCCCGCCTCTCCTGTTTGAGTCTGGGTCCCTAAAGACTCGCCTGTATCTGGAGCTCAGAGTCTGCGACTCCCTCCCGATTGAAAACGCCAACCGCGCCCTCTGCCGCCAGCCCGCTCCGCGCACTCCACACCTCAGAATTTGACTTCAGCACTGCGCCTCCTCTGAGTGTCCGTATGCATTTCTCTTTCCTCCTAGTTGTAGGACTTCCACTCAGCCAGCGTTCCTGTGGTTCTGGGTGATGTCCGTTCTGTTTTTTGGTTTCACTTTTGAAGTAGTTGTTCAAGGCAGCAAACTCCGGCGTTAACCTATGCCGCCATCTTGGTTCTCCCCGCGAGGTTCTTTAGCCAGGTTCTATCCACAATCCAAGTCTTAAGCCTCTGCTCCAAGTTTACCCATTTTGCTGGTTTTCCTCTTAAGGCCTTCTTTTTTTTTTTTTTTTTTTTGGCATCTTAAGTTGTTCTTCCTGTTTTCTCCACTGTCTGATCAGACACTCAGTGGGAGGAGGTCCAAATTGTCTCTCTGCAGCTCTATCTCCATGCTCTTTTGCATAGCTGATTACATTCAGTTTAAATTTTGCAGAGTAAGACAATTGCTTACTGCTATTTATCTTTTTATTTTTTGACATCTTTATGGGCTTGGAATGCTCTAGTCCCTGCTGCATCTGTGCACTCTCCATCTCCAATTACAGCATCAGCTGATGTCAATAACAATAAGGCTCATGATTGGAGAAAGCCTGTTTCACAAAGTATGAGCAGTTATGCACCAGCATAGCTCCCTCCTCGGCTGACTTCCATGTACAAGATGTCCCTGAATTTTCAGTCTAATGATTTTAGAAAAAAAATAGCATCTTATACATGTGCAACAGTGACAGAGTTGAGTAGTTGCTTCAGAGGCTGTAATTTGCAAAGCCTAAAATGTTTACCACCTGACCCTTTACAAAACAAGTTTGCCAACCCATGATCACAGTATAGTGTAGTATGACAAGCATATTAATATGTTGGGATAGGTTTTTTAACTGATTGAAAGGTTCTTGTTTTAGAATCTTTGCCACCATTGTCTTAAAAGGAAAGAGGTCAAATCACAGAAGAAGATAAACAAACTGTTGCCCCAGCGTTTTAGCAAGAAAAATAATCTTATTTCAAATTATGTTGTATGATAAAAGAGTTTCACTTAGTGTGGATGAGATTCTCTTCAATTATTTCCTATGACTTAGTAAGAGAATCTTAAGAGTTTTCCAGTTAGCACATATCACAAAAACCTTTCCATCTTTTACCACTTGCTTATCCTCTTAAGAGTCAGCAAGTTTTCAAAATTCACATTACCTTTTGGAGCAAAATAATTCATCTTTCATCATCAGTTCATAAGAATAGGATAACCCAAAATTTATATGTATCTTAATATTATGCAAACTATTTAGGAATTCTGGATCCAAATCTCCAGAAAAATTTTGAGGATTTCTGTTGTCTGTGGATAAAAAATAAGTAAAAAGTCATTACTTGTTCTATACTGAACTTGACAAAAGTATGTACTGAAGATAAAAATATAACTTAAGAGGAAGATTAAGATTTAAATATTTGAAGTTAGGCATTTTCAAACAATTTTCCCCTGGGGTTATGAATACAGGACAAAGTTGGCTATTAGTTAAACAGATACCATGGGGAGAGTGGTTGGGGAAGAAGAGGTGTGCGAGTGTCTATCGCAGCTTTCCTCAATGGGGTTTCCGGGAGAGGTTAAGTCCTAATTCCCCGTGGCATTTAGAATGGTACTGATTATGTACCATACTTAGGGCAATGGAAAAAATCATCCAAGTCATATACTGTGTTCTATGCTTCAGAGGAGCTCAAGGAGCACATGGGAGTCAGCGTTTGTAATATAGGATAGGTGAGGTTGAGAAATGAGTTATGTAAACATCTTTGCAATTACTTTTTTCTGTGCTCTTTTATCATTCAACTACGTAAACTATTTTATACAGAACACGTTCAAGTCATATCTTCCCAGTTACATTAGGAAGTTCAGTGAAGAGTAAGTTCAAGGATTTACAATTTAATGGGGGGGGGGGGGGGTGTGAAAAGCGCTAGAGCAAAACCATTTTATGATAACATCAAATTTTATTTGGTTTTCTTTGTTTCTAAAAGAATGTCATTGTTGATGCTTTAAATATTAAGATAATCTGAGTCCTCGCCTTGCTTAGTAAATTTCAGTACACATTGAAGACTGGTATGCATATGCCAAATGCCTTGCAGTTTAACAGTATGCCCAAATTTTCTATTATAAAGAATAAGAAATTATGTCACTGGCCACTCATCTAAAGCCTTACTTTTTAGATTTAGGTTGACCTAACAGAGTAATTGCTGTAGGAGCTAAAAGAAGAGTGCTAGGGGGAAAGATGCTGAAGAAATGAAAATGGTGTTTATGCTTTTCTGAGTGTATGCTGTTCAGAGAAAAAGAGATTGCTATACATCTGTTCATTAGAGCACTAGTATTAGGCTTGAAATAATTTGATGGCAGGAGAGGGTTGTGTGATAATTTTACTTCTGATGTTTAAAGGATATTATGTGAAGATTCAGCCTACTGTAATCATGTAAATTTTGCTGTTGCTTTTGGCTAAAATGCCCTTCTTGAAAATGCCATTTTAAAAAAAACAAGGTGTATTTTTTTATAGTTGCTATGAATGTGTGTATTTAAATTTCTGAATTAAAATATAAGTTGATTTAAAGTAAAAAAAAAATTAAAAAGGTCTAATTTGCATTAAAATTGATTTGTTTCCAATCCAAAGTGAAATCATTAACTTAAGTAATAATTATCATTAAAACAAATTGATAACATGCACTATAAATAATTTCCTATCAGTAAATATAATGCTTACTAGAGGCCCGGTGAACAAAATTCATGCACGGGGAGGAGGGAGGTCCCTCAGCCCAGCCTGTACCCTCTTCAATCTAGGATCCCTCTCACAATCCAGGACTGCTGACTCCCAACCGCTCGCCTGCCTGCCTGCCTATTGCCCTCTAACCACTTCCCTGCCAGCCTGATTGACACCTAACCGCTCACCTATTGGCCTGATCTCACCCAACTGCCCTCCTGTGCCAGCCATCTTGTGGCAACATGGGGGAAGCCATCTTGTGATGACGTGGGAGTGGTCATCTTGTGACACAAGGGCACTGGGGTCAATTTGCATATCACCTCTTTATTGTATAGGATTGCATTCCATGCCTCTGCCCAAGATTCTAATCACTTTGTTCTTTTTTCCTTAGGAGATAAAGTCTTAATGTTACCTCTTCCAGAGTGCAGAGAATGCTGTTTCTGTTTGCACCCCAAGGGCAACGTATGTGTGAAGGAAGAGTTAGTTTCAATTGCTCTGACTTCATTTCATCCAATTTGTTTTCATTGGGATAGGTATTGACTGGGAACTAAAACCCTGTATTTTTATGTCACACAGTATTCTTTCTCCAACTGGATTAATGTTAGATGGAACCAGCAGGTTTACCTGCAAAGCACAGAAGATTCATCATCTTTTTGGCACTAGCACCTTCACTGAATATACTGTTGTGCATGAAATTGCAGTGGTAAAAATTGATGATGCTTCTCCAATGAATAAAGTCTGTATCATTAGCTGTGAGGTGCCTACAGGCTTTGGAGCCGTATTTAACACTGCAAAGGTAAGAATGTTCTTTTGTGCTGTTTTCAGTGACTTTACCTACATCCTGGGAGCCATTCAATCAGAGAGCTTCTCTCATTAGAGATAAACCAAAGTGGCTTTTTTCTAATAGAAATTTATCTTCTGGGTTTGTAGGTTACTCCTGGTTCCACCTGTGTTGTCTTTGGACTTGGAGGAATTGGTTCAGCCATAGTCATGGCATGCAAAGCCTCTGGTGCTTGTAGGATCATTGGGGTTGACATCAACGAGAATAAATTTCCCAGGGCAAGAGCATTAGGAGTCACAGATTTTCTCAACCCTCGGAACCTCAAGAAGCCTGTTCAGCAGGTGGTAGTTGAAATGACAGGCTTCGGTGCTGACTTTGCCTTTGAGGCCATCGGACTCATTGATACCATGGTAAGTGGTTTTGGGGCACAGTGAGGGGAAGTTGCTTGCCAAGATGTGGGTACATATTAAATTAACTTTATGAAGACATGAAATTACTATAATTTTTAACTATTTTTGAGCACACCTTATGAGCCTTGCACCAAGATATTTATACACTTTATCCCCTTTAATCTTCATATCATTTTATGAATTAAGTACTAATCCCCAGTTTCAAGATTAAGTTAAAGCAGCTTGCCTAAGATCTCAAGGGGCGGCTGAAGGGGGATACCATATTCTATTCTATTCTATTCTATTCTATTCTATTCTATTCTATTCTATTCTATTCTATTCTATTCTATTCTATTCTATTCTATTCTATTCTATTCTATTCTATTCTATTCTATTCTATTCTATTCTATTCTATTCTATTCTATTCTATTTTTTCTTTTTCTCTCATACAGCACCACTGAAAATATGTTTTAGGATTGTGAGTCAAAAGAGGTATGATTTCAGGGTACTGAGATGCTAATCAGTCTACTGCCGAAATTAGGTTGCGGCTTTGGAGTCATGCCGTCGGAGCTATGGAGTCTGTGTGATTATGGGAGTAGCCCCCAACCGTGAACAACTCTCCTTTGATCCACAGTTGATTAACTCTGGGAGAACCCTGAAAGGCAGCTTTTTGGGAGGTAGGTCTTTGATGCCACATCACCTTTTCCAGAAATCTGGTCACCCTGCATTGTCTTTGGCAAGAAACGAAGGAATGAAAAGGTAGGAAAAATAAACCTCTATGAAAGGAAATAGGAGACATGTTAAAATAGAAAAGCACACTTACGTCTTCCTCACAGGTATTTATTACCTGTGGGAGAAAAAAACAGATTAACATTTTGATATTATTAAGATATAGAATAATCATATTGCAGCATACTCATTGGCACTCAGACATTCTATAATTGGTGGAGAGTCATTGTGTGTCTCTGAGTGGCTCCCCAGCACAGGATTAGACTAGAAGAAAATCTCAGTGTATTGAACCCCAATTCTCACCATACAATCACCCTAATTTTTTATTCAAGAACAAAACAAACAACTCTATTGTGGCATATTTGAATTTCTTTTTCCCAAACAACACCTCCAACAACACCCTGTCTGGGCATGCTTCACACCCACAGATGCTTCCAGACTAGCACTGACCAAGAGAGTTTTCTGCAATGGTAAAAATGTCCTAGAGCTGGACTGTCCAATAAAAGAGGCACAAGCCATATATAACTATTGAACATCTTATGTGTGGAAACCAGAAAACTGACTTTTCATTATATTTAATTTTAATGAGTTTACATTTAAATAGCCACATACGGCTAGTGGCTACTTTATTAGATAGTACAGTTGCGATAGCTTGCTCTCTGACTTTTGCTAGCATGCTCAAATAAGATTAATTTGGCATAAACTTAAAAACAAGGGCGTTGCTGTCAGAATACTCACCAGACCTGTTCCTTAGCAAGTTATTTAAGCTCATTAATTGCCAGTACTATTTTCTGGAACGTAGAGTAAATAATAGTTTTGTTCTTACATAATATAGAGATAATGAAATGAGAAGATGCAGGTAAAGCACTTGGCAAGAGAAACTGACACATAATAGGTACAAAATTAACATTAAATTGTAGCAGTAACAACGATTACTGTAGCTTATGAGGAGGAAGGCACATATATTGCAAAAGATAACTGGAGGCCTTTTTGCTATTCTAAAATATCTGGGTGCTCTTCCTTTTCTTCATTGATTTAGCTTTGCATGAGTTGATTGAACGTAAATAAAACTGGATTCATACCTAGATGTCAAATACTGGAAAAAACTTTGCCATTGACCAACCTCTTATATAAAAGCTTGTTTTCCCAGAAACTCTATATGTCTGAATTTTCCTATTTGAATAAATACTCAATTTAAAAATTGAACTATTTCAAAAGAGATTAGGCTGGTGCTTGGAATGGTGAAGCATAATTGACACTGATCATTTTTTTTTAGGGCTAGTTGTCCTTGGCTTCATTGGAGAAATGTATTTCCATTCCTAACACTCCTCATTATGTATCTGCCATGTCTCCTTCCTTCCTCATTAAATGCAAATACACCAAGGAAAATCACCCTAATGAAACTCTCATTCAGATGGAAAAATCTGTGATGGCTTTGTCCTTTCACTTCCATGCAGACACATTTCTAAGTTTCTCAAAGTCCTACATACCAATTGCCTAATACTCACATATTTTAGTACAAATTTCCCTATTAAGGAACATAAAATATCTGCAGCCAGGGCTCTGATAAAGAGTACCAACTATCTTTTTAAAAAAAGAAAAAAGAAAAGAAAAGAAGAAACTCAACTTTTTTGTGGTGCTTTATTTTTAAACCATCTATATATATAAAAGCCTAAGCAACCATCCGACCGTGCGACCGTCTGACTGATAGCTATGATGTGCAATTACCACCAGGGGGCAGACACTCAATGCAAGAGCTGCCGAGCTTCTCGGGTGATGCACCTGGAACCACAGAAGAGGAAGCCCAATTCCAGGGTGCATCACCTGAGAACTGCCCTCTCGCAATCTGGGACCCCTCAGAGGATGTCAGAGAGCTGGTTTTGGCCTGATCTCCACAGGCCAGGCCAAGGGACCACACTGGTGCATGAATCCGTGCACCTGGCCTCTAGTATCTTATAAAAACATAATGTTGTATAAACAGGACTCTGCTAACAATATAAAAACCTGGGTTCTGGGTTCAGCTTCCCCACTTTCTGGATGTGAATCAGAGTTTTAAAACAGGATTTGATTTCATCAGACATGGTAAGATGACAGACACAGGGACAATTGCCTTGAAAGAAGAGTTTATTGCTCAGAGTTCCCAAGAGAAGGGGTCATGCCATACCATATAGGTCCTTATGGGGAAGCACCGGGGCTAGACAGGAGACAAGAATAGCTAAGGGAAAGCATGGGCCAGAGACTTACTGTGTTTTTCATGAGAAGGAATGGGCAAGATGGGTAGGGAAGCTAAGCAAGTTTCAACAGGTTCTAGGCTATAGGAATGGTCCTCAGTTATCTGGTAACTGGTCCTAGGATGATTTAGGGCAGAGGAACAGTATCCCAAAATGTTGGAGACTGATAAAAAGAGAGAAATCAGGAATATGGACTCAAGGCTGTTTGGTTTGCATATCAAAAGCATGCTAAAGCAGTCTGTTCACTACCTCTAGAAATCAGTAAACCCTGGGAAAGGCAGTCTCTCTCCAAGTCTAGAAGGCCCCAAGATATCAAAGCATCATAAAATATAGAAAATTAAAAAATAATAAATACAATCAGGGAAAAATACTTAACATCTCTAAACCTCAGTCCCCTCAAAGTTATAAAAATGGGGAAAATAATACCAGCATCTTCTACTAAACTATTCTCCAACACACCACTGAAGAAGTAGAAAAATTTATTTTTGAGGTTGAAATGTTAAGGTTTTTTTTTTACATATCTTTATTGATTTCAGAGAGGAATGAAGAGGGAGAGAGAGATACAAACATCAATGATGAGAGACAATCATTGATTGGCTGCCTCCTGAACATGCCTCCTATACCAGGCACCGAGCCTACAACCCTGGCATGTGCCCTTTACCAGAATCAAACACGGGACCCTTCAGTCTGCAGGCCAATGTTCTATCCACTGAGCCAAACCAGCTAGGGCTGAAATGTTAAGTTTTGAAGGAGATATATCTGGAGCCACAGGTAGAGGGAGAATATGGTAACTAAAACCAAATCAGCTGGAAGGTAAGCTGTTTTAAGAAGAAATCCTTAATGCCCTGAAGGCAAAGGAACACTGTGGTTTGATGGTCTGTGACCATGACAGTGTCAGGTCACTCCAACAGTTCATCCCAGCCCTGACACTGTTCACCTACAATGCTGGGGTGTCATGGTACTCCTAAGTGATAGCAGAATTTTGCAATGGGATAAATTACCTTACTTCTGAAGATTAGGAAGAGGGTCAAGAATGAAATGGATTACTGCCTCCCATGAATGCTTTTGCCAATTTTACACATAATAAATTCATTTGATTCTTTAATTAGTTTAGTATTTTTTAGGTTTCTTTATTGTTGTCCTTCTTTTCTACAGAGTACAAAAGCAGAGATTGCATTCCTAAACTTGTAACTGACTACCTGCAAAAAAAAATCAACATAGATCCACTTATAACTCATACATTCCATTTTGAAAGAATAAACAATGCATTTGAAGTGCTCCAGGATGAAAATGAAAATTGGTGAGTCTGTGCGCGCGCGCGCACGTGTGTGTGTGTGTGTGTGTGTGTGTGTGTGTGTGTGTGTGTGTTGTGTGTCTGTGTAAGATGTATCTGTATGAGATATCTTATACATGTAACACATCCAAAATTTTATGAAAAATGAGGTCTCGGATCAAGTATAAAAGAGGGAGGGCATGGAAAATGGTTTAGAAAATGGCAATGAAATAGTGTTAAGTCAGTGTGAAGAGCGCTAAACATTTTACTCAGTCACTGTGTGATCTAAACAGCTACCTTTGCCCATGATATTGTCCTTATCTAAAAATGGGGATAATGATACCTCTTCTTGTTATTGGACGGGCTCTGCACCTGGGTGGGTCTGCCTAGGGCCACCTGAAGTGTGTGGGTTCTTGACTTCGTGCAGGAAACATTTCACAAGTCGAGTCCAGGTGGCTTTTGAGAGTATGTTTAATAAATCTGGGACAATGATATGAAAGAAGGGTTTGATGTAGAAGAAGTAACAGGAGACAGCTGAGTGACAGAAGTGAGCTCACTGGGAAGTCAGAGACAAAGGGGGCCCTGGAGACAGATTCAGAGAGTAAGCCTGGGACAAACTGCCACTGCTCACTGCTCCCTTGGCTACAAGACTCATAGGGTCCTTTGGAGATTAGGAGATGCATGCCTGTGAAGGAAGAAGTTGGGGAAGGCAAAAATGTGAGTAGGCATGCTCCCAGGAGGGAGAGCACACCCTAGATCCCTTGTCTTGAGGCTTTTTAAAAAATCTTTCCTTGGCTGGCTGGAATCTTAGGGGAGGTCTCAACAGAGGGTCTTAACAGAATATTCATTAGCTTTTTAGGTGTGTCCTTCAATATGTTCATTCATTAAAATGTGTGTATAAAGGGGCCAGGATTATTTTCTGGTTTGGTTTTATTTTTAAAGAATATTATTGAAGAGGGACTGGGCTGAAGCAGGTCTGTCCCAGGACAGTCTGTACTACATAAACCATTTGCCCCAAAGTGTCCTTGGTTAGGGAAGATAAAACCTTGTGATTTATTAGCTGGCTGTAAACTGCTCAAGTGGTTTGGCCTTGTGTAATTATTTTGTCTCAGTTTCCCTTTATTCCACTTGTCAAGGAATTCCCCTAGCTTCTTACTATCCTGCCTCATTCCCCTCTTAGATACTTCTATCCCTGAAATCTTTTCGGATTGATGAGGGAGGACAGTCCATTTTCAGTAACTGCTTCCTGCTGACAAGGGTCATAGTCCCTGTGTATGTAAGGTGAGAATGTCTCTCCCTGCCTGACCTAGGGGGGGCAAGGGAATGGAATCTGGGACCAGAAGAGAGAGGTCATTAGCTAATCCTTCTAAAGTAGGGATAAGCTGGAGTTCCTGAAGTGTCATCATCCTAGAGGTGACAAATTTGACAAGAAGGTTAGTGGAGTGGGGGACAATTCTTTGAAAGCCCAGTCACCACCATATCTGTATCAGGTTTTTGGGTTTTTGAAGAGGAGCTTGAAGTTCTCAATGGGTTCAAAAGAGTAGGTCTCAGGTTATGGTTCCTGTGGGGATTCACAAGAAACAGGTTTAATTTGAGATAAGTGAACCCAACTGGCTATCCCTGTGAGCTTTATTGCAGTTGGGTTGCTTAGTAGAACCTGATATGGACCTTAGCACCTGGATTAGCATTAAGTACAATGCCTGAAATATGTGAGTTGCTCAGTAAAAATTTGTGTTTAAATGAGTGAATTAATGAGTCAAGGTCCCTAACACAAATGCATTTAGAACTGCATGTATCTAGGGTACCTGCCAATATACAATGTAAATGTACATTATTCTTCGTGATAGAGCCCTGTTTCACAGCTATTAAAAGTGAGGGTATAACACCATAGGAGATAAGGAACAAAACTAAGAAGCTAATGTTTAAAGTGATGGCCCTCACGTAGCCATTCACAACTGAAAAGTAGAGAGAGGGTGCTATGGTAATTCTTCTGTCCCCACCAGACAAGCTCATGGCCAGCTGAAGGGTGATTAAAAGTCACAGAATGAAATGCACGCTATAACTGTGGATTCTCATGAGATGAATTCTCAAGGGTACATAGTTCTCTCTTGCCTTATCATCTTTGCCTCTTATTACTAAAAATCAAATACCATGTTTAGTGACTACATACTAGACTTGATTCAGAAACATTTTCTGGTGCCTTGAGGGGAGATTAATATAGAGATAACAAATGGGGGTTGGTAGATAAGTTTGTCTCTTAAAATGCTCATGCTACAATTATTTTGTGCTGCCCACATTTATGCAGGCAAGTCAGTCATTTCAATGTTTGAATTTCTGTGTTTCAGTATCCGCTGTGTCCTCTTGTTTTGAGATTCCCAGATGATAAAATGGAGCGTGAATTTCCTCAGCAATGCTATTTGCTTCCTTTTTCACTACCTTGATGACTCCATTCCAATATATATAACCCAAAATTGGAAAGAGAGCACTTCTGGAATTTTAAGAAATAAAACTGTTATAATAAACTATTTTGAAACTGGTGTTTGCATTTCAGCCTAAAGCTTAAAGAGAAAAAACAGGGGTATCTTAGTGATGGAATGCATCTTCTGCCCATCCTAACGATTTCACTTTAAATGTATTATGTGATGGATATGCTTCATTAGACAGCTTGCATATTTTGAAAACTGATTTAAAGCATGAACCCTTCTCCACCACTCTATGTGTTGCTGAGTTGGCCTGTTATGAAAAGCACATCTACCAATAGTCTGCCTTCTTGGGCAAATAGTGGGAAGAGGGGTGACTAATTCTTTGAATCTGAGCTTGATGTACGTTGGGCATTGTTTTTCTAGTTGGAGATGAGGGGGCTGTTAACAGTGGTTCAAAAATGGTAAAACTCCTTGACACTCAGTCTTACCTGCCTTTCTCAAACAAAAATGATATACGAACAAATAAAACAGAAACAGACTCCTAAGTGCAGAGAACAAACTGAGGGTTGCCAGACAGGAGCAGAGTAGGAGGACTGGTGAAAAGGGGGAAGGAATTAAGTACAAATTGGTAGGTACAAAATAGTCATAGGAATCTTTTCTATTTCTTCTCAATATGTTGTTCTCATGTGGAGGGCCTACAGTTTGGGGGTGCAACTAAGCCTTTTCCATTCCCTTTCTCTGCTCCATTTCCCCAGCCCATGACTGAATAGAGAAATCTGGTCATTGATTAGCAACATGATTTGGTCCCAAACTGGCTGCAGTTTGGGTGTGCCAATTCCATCAACCAAAACCATGGAATAAAGAAACAGTGGTTGGCAGGATTCGGGTAAAAAATCACCATTCAATATCTTTAACAATAGTATAGTTACAAGGATAATGAAGAGGTGGTTGTTTGGCTCTGCCTTTGGCTAGAGACTAGATTATATGAAAAGCACCCTAGGGAACCCCTAGAAATGTAAATAATATGCAACAAACATCCTTTTAAGCATATGTCTGAGCTAACAAGAAAGTAGGGAAAACTCCAGGGGAGCAGGAAAACCAAATGAGAAATGAGCAGCAAAGTTACATCTGACCTGATGATTTTTGCTGACCCAATAAACTGTGGGTTGGGTATTAAAGGCAAAGCAAGAAATATGCAGCTTGGACCTGGTACAAGGTGGGGAGCTGGAATGAAGACTCATGCATACCCCACATCTTCCAAGAGCTGCAACCTCAAGTAAATCAGAGGGACTAGTAAATGTTCCACCCACCAGAAAAAAAAGACTATAATGTCTTTTCACAGCCTTGGAGAGGGAAAAAATTCTTACCGTGTTTTGTGAAAACAGATGTGCTCGCAGATGAATTAAATTTGAATTTATTTTGACTGCCAGGAAATTTTACTGTGATAGTTCTAAGTACATCACATTCTAGGTTTCTGGAATAAACATATTTTTTTCAGTTTGTGAATCAGAAGCTCAATCAATTTAAAATAAGCCAGAAAAGGACAATTTTTTTAATGGAGTAGAAAAAGCAGAATAAAGAAAAAAAACCTCACTATGATAAAAATAATTCTAAAAATATTAGCAATCAAAATACTGTAGACAGATTAAACTCACTAGTACAAAAAAAAAGAACTGCAAAAAAATATTAAACTTTAGTCAGAAGATTTATTGTTAGTAGTAACATCCTATATAATAAAACCCTAATATGCAAATCAACCTAATGGCAGAACTACTGGTCTCTATGATGTGCACTGACCACCAGGGGGCAGATGCTCAATGCAGGAGCTGCCCCCTGGTGGTCAGTGCGCTCCCACAGGGGGAGCGCTGCTCAGCCAGAAGCCGGGCTCATGGCTGGCAAGCTCAGTGGCCGTGGCGGGAGCCTCTCCTGCCTCTGCAGCAGTGCTAAGGACTCCTTGGGGGATGTTCTCCTGCTGGCTTAGGGGAGCGGGCCTAAGCTGGCAGGCAGACATCCCCCAAGGGATCCTGGACTGCGAGAGGGCGCAGGCCAGGCTGAGGGACTCCACACCCCCCCCCCCGCAGTGCACGAATGTCATGCACCAGGCCTCTAGTAGTTAAAATATTAGAAGATACTATTAAGTAAATGTATTACATTTATTATGAAACAGGAGTTCTACCATGAATGAGATACAAGTACAAAGGGAGCCTGATTGCTGGAACAGGAATGATTGAAGACAAGCAAAACCATATCAAAGAAACACAGCAGCCAGCAGGATGTGGTTCCCACTGGCCAAATTTAGGACAATTCAGGCATCCAAAGTAATAAGAGTAATGTCTTTCACTGATTACAACACGTTGAATTTTTTTAATGATTTTATAGAGGACTTCTACTTCTGGGAAGATGGAGTAGACATATTCCCTAATCCTTCCACTAAATATAATAAAGCCCCTGGACATTTTACATAGAACAAACACAAAAAAATTCTTAAAGGTGTAGAGAAGGCAGAAAGACTAGAGACTTGGAGACCAAGGAAGGGTACTGGTGTGTGTTCCCTGGGTCTTCTTTAAGCCTCATATATCCCGGAGTTGGAGTGAAGAGACCAGAAACCTTGAAATAGCAAAATGCACAGACAAAAAGAAGGCCCAGCAAAAAGCCTGTTCTCTAGACAAAGAACTGAGAAAGGGCAGCCTAGCTAGGCAGAAAGCTTTTAGATAATAACTGCTCTACTCCCTCCAAACATCAAAGGTAAAAACAACAACAACAACAACAACAACAACAACAACAACATGACCCCTCCTGTACCCATGGAGCAAAGACTAAGTAAGGTGCTTATACTTTCACCCTCCCCAGACGGTAAAAAGGCACCAAACCCTACCCACTACCCACTCACTAGGATGAGATCAGAAAAGACAAAGAGATAGTCTGGGAATTTCAACCACATCCAGGAGTAACAGGCAACCACCTCAAAGTGTCCGCAGGGAGCCTGGACTTTTATGCACACGCAGCAATAAAGAGGTGATCCCTCCCACTCCTTCCAGAGATGGTGTTAGAGAAGGCTGGTGGTGTCCTTGAGGCCATATGGTAACGAGACACTTTCCAACCAAGGAGGTGTCAGAGGAGGCCTGGGGGAGAGCTGGAATGCTCATCTCCACCCAGAGGTAAGACGGAGCAGTCTCCTCTTGGGGAGTTAATGAAGGCTGAGTGGGAGCCTGATTCATAGCCCCACCTGAGTGTAAAAGACTGACCTGACAATGATGAGGCGGCCTCCCCTTGCTCTGCCAGAGCCAGCTGGCTTGTCAGAGAGGTCTGCGGAAAGAGAGTCAGCTAAGTCGGGGCTTCTCAGACTCAAAACAAATACCAAATTTGGACTTCAAAACTATCCCTTCAAAGAAGTCCATATTGAATTAGCTCAGTCTATGGAGCAATTTAGGCCCTAGGGCATTGGGGAAAGAATAAAGCAGTCGTCTAGCAACTCCTAGAGCTCATGGTTATGAGCTTGGTCAGGAAAACAGCCAGATGGAGCCATACCAAAACCACTGTCATCCCAGGGTAATGAGGAGTTCTCCATGGCTGTGCCCTCTGAGGAGCAACATCAGAGACTTCACACAGGGGAGGGGAATTAGACTCTCGCTGTGGTCGGCAAACTGCGGCTCGCGAGCCACATGCGGCTCTTTGGCCCCTTGAGTGTGGCTCTTCCTAAGCCTTAGGAGTACCCTAATTAAGTTAATAACAATGTACCTACCTATACAGTTTAAGTTTAAAAAATTTGGCTCTCAAAAGAAATTTCAATCATTGTACTGTTGATATTTGGCTCTGTTGACTAATGAGTTTGCCGACCACTGTAGAGTATTCTAGCTAGTTACTAAAAATTAAACAAAGGCAACCCAGGTGTGGGATTTTTAATTCTCTATACTATATAAAAAGTAAAAAGGAGCCCAGCTGGTGTGCGTCAGTGGTTGACCTCTGAACCAAGAGGTCACAGTTCACTTCCCTGTCAGGCACATGCCCAAGTTGTGGGCTCGATTCCCAATTGGGGGCATGTAGGAGGCAGCCAATCAATGCTTCTCTCTCATCATTAATGTTTCTATCTCTCTCTCACTCTCCCTTCTTCTCTGAAATCAATAAAAAAATATATTTTTAAAAGTAAAAAGGAATAGATGAAATCAATTTTAATATTGTTTTATCAAACCAGACATATACAAAATGTTATCAATTCAACACATCATTTAAAAATTTTAAGTATTGATTATTTTAATTACACTTACAGCACATCTTAATGTGGACTAGCTGTAGTCACGTCTTCAATAGCCACACGTGGCTAGTGGCTACCACATGGACAGTACACTTCTATAGTTTCTGTATTCTCAACATGCATTTTTTGAAATTACAATTAAAATGCATTCTTATATTCTTTTCATAACTAAAAAATTAATAAAAAGAATGTAAATTGAAAAGCAAAATAGTGTATGCTGTTCAATCTGAAAATCAATTTTTTTCAAAACTGTCTTATATTCACTGAGAAAAGTTTAGGAAGGCCAGAGGTGCCTGGATAGTGAAAATGAGCACTATTACCCCTTTTTCTGAAAGGCCAATGGACTGCCTTGTCTTGTGTGACCTTTCCCCTCAGGGAAGTGTTAACGTAGCAACAGTGATGAGCAGAGGATCCCTGCTCTGCATAAAGGCTCCCGCCCAAATGACAGGCTGCTAAAAGCCAGACTCCACCAAAGTCTTTTTTTAATGAGATATTATTGACATACTAGTGGCCCGGTGCACGAAATTCGTGCACGGGGGAGGGTTCCTCAGCCTGGCCTGCACCCTTTCCAATTTGGGACCCCTCGAAGGATGTTCTACTGCCAGTTTACAGAGATCGGGCCTAAACCGGCAGTCGGACATCCCTTTCGCAATCCAGGACTGCTGGCTCCTAACCACTCACCTGCCTGCCTGCCTGCCTGCCTGATTGCCTGTAACCACTCTGCCTGCCGGTCTGCTTGCTCCCAACTGGCCCCCCTGCTGCTGGCCTGCTTGCCCCCAAATGCCCCCCCGCCAGCCTGATCACCCCAAACTGCACTGCCTGCTGGCCTGCTTGCCCTTACTTTCCCTCCCCACTGGCCTGCCCATCCCCAACTGTCCCCCTGCTGGCTGCTCACTCCAAACTGCCCCCCCCCCCCCCGCTGTCCTGATCACCTCCAACTGACCCCCACTGATGGCCTTCTTGTCCCCAACTGGGCCCCCTGCTGGTCTGCTTACCCCCAACGGCCCCACCCCCCACAAGCCTGATCACCCACAACTTCCCTCCCCTCTTGGCCTCTAACTGCCTCTACCTTGGCCCTGCCACCATGGCTTTGTCCAGAAGAACATCTGGAAGGTCTCCCAGTCTAATTAGCATATTACCCTTTTATTAGTATAGATGAATTATTTCATAGAATGGGCATTTTATTACAGATGGTTTCCCATGGCATTTTTTCTAAAGAAGTAAAAATTACTTTAAAAAGTGTTTCAGGAAGACTTTGAGAAATTTACAGTATCTGCTTTTCTTCCAAGAAAGTTGTCACTTTTATGCCAGAGTGAGAATTATTTGTATGCTTTGTATGTCAGCATTGGGCCACTGTGACTGGGGGGCACTTAGCTTGACTTGAGAGTAATTATCTTGCTCACTGGCTGGGAGGGAGGGTGTGTGGCAGAGGAGATAAATACTCAGTTCTGGATTATTCATAGATTGCTGACTTTCTGGATTGATTGTACAAGCCCCTCCTTTTATTTTATTTTATTTTATTTTATTTTATTTATTTATTTATTTATTTTGAAAATCAACAGAATTTCTGGTTTTATTTCTTTCGAGGATGACAGCAGGGAATTGTGGAAACAGGTGTGACTAGCACACTGCCGGGGGAAGGGAGAAGAGGCCCGGGGGCCTGGGGATGCAGGGAGGGGGTGTGCCAGCGAGGGCCGAGGCTCCCTGTGGGACTGGGCCATCTTCTTGGGTTTTACCTCCTCAGGAAGGCACAGGCTTCCAGAAGTGGGGAAGTGGAGCATTGTCTCAGATTCCCAATGGCCGTGACGTACTCCGCTCCCAAATATTTCTCATACGTCGTTTTGCCTTGGAGGTTGGCCAGACACTTGGTGTTGTCATTGAAAAGAAGGTTTTTGGTTTCCGACTGGAACAAGCAAAACGTGCCTGGGCAGTCACGTCCATTTCTTCCAAACTTAGCCTGCTGGTCAAGCAGCACCTGCCCCAGGTGCTCCACCTTCTCTCTCCGAGATACCACAGCATGATTTGGGGCCTTGGCCAGGTAGCAGCTCTCAGCCTCAGTCACAGGCTTCCGGGTGCCAATGAGGCACAAGAGCTCGAAGTCCTCCAGCCTCAAATCCTTAGCCCAGTCCTCAGTGCCCTTTCCATTCGTGTTCTCCAAGACAGTGGCATCTTTCACAAACGCAACGCCTCCCGCATTCTCCGCCAGGCACCGGAAAGCCCCAGTGTAGCCGTAGGATCTCTCATTGCTATTGGGGGCACACTTGTTCTGGCGTGCTTTGTTGCCAATACACAGCGCGCAGAGGTTGGAGTTCGGGTCGGACCCGGGAGCACAGCTCTGACTGAAGAATTCATCAAATTTGCAGGAGCCTGTCTGGTTGAAGAGCAGACCCATGGGGATGTTCCAGCCTGCAGTCCTGCCCACGGCGGTGTGGCAGGACTTCTTGCCTTTCAGAGAATTCCAGGTGAAGCCAGCATTTGATTTCTTGACAACCGCCACGGCTCGATACCCTTCCACTGGTCTATTCACACAATCCGAGTTACCGCTCTCTTCGGATTTTTGGCTCTCTGCCAGCACAGGCACCAAACCGCATTTGCCCGCGATGTAGATGAATCCTCCATCCAAGCTCATGGCGTCAGCTTCTCCTTTCAGGACCAGGGCGATGCAGTCCTCGGTGGTGGCGGCGGTGGCACAGGCCACTGTCCCATTGCTTTGGCTGCTCCACTGCTGGCACTTGCGCTGCTCCTCGGGGCCCACCGCACACCACACGACCTGTGCGCGCCGCGCCTCCACCTCCGCGGACGTTTCCTTCAGGCCCTTGAAGACAGTGACGTAGTTGGAACCGAGGAACAGCCCAGCGTCTATCTTCGAGGGGATCCTCAAAAACCGGAGCGCATTATCTTTGAACAGCAGGTCCTTCTGTCCACGCGGGGAGCTGAAGAGCTGGAATGCCCATGATTTGCCTTTTCGAAACTTCTCCTGTGCCTTGTTGAGAAGCCTCCAGATCAAGTCCTCCTTGCCATCTCCACTTCGGGCCACAACAACATGAGAAGGAACCTGGGGCAGGTAGCACTCCTTGAAGTCATCCACTGACTTCCGAGTATTGTCTAGGCAGAGCAGCTCATACTGGTCTCTCTCAGCCTCGTCTGGCAGGTTCTCTAAGGGTCCCTGTTCGGGTGCCATATGCTGGAGTCCGACCCCAGCAGGTCCAGGGGTCCCCAAAGGTGTGGACGGAGTGGGCGAAGAAGGAATGACACGGAGACAGCGTTCAGTTGATCAGCAGCCTAGCCAGGATCTCTAGCCAAGTTCTGGTCAGGATCTCCAGCAAAGTTCTGGTTAGGATCTCCAGCCATGTTCTGTGTCCATGTTCTCTTGCTAGGTTCTCCAGCCAGGTTCTGTAGCCATGTTCCCTCGCTAGGTTCTCAAGCCAGGTTCAGTCACCAGGTTCTAGTCAGGTTCTCTTGCCATGTTCTATCCAGGTTCTGTAGCCAGGTTCTGTCTCTAGGTTCTTCAGCCAGGTTCTCTCGCTAGGTTCTGTCACTAGGTTCTATGACCAGTTTCTGTCCAGGATCTTTTGCCATGTTCTCTCCAGCGAAGTTCTTCTGTCTCTAGGTTCTGTGTAGGTTCTGTGTCTAGGTTCTGTCGCCCCTCCTTTTATTGATGTCCACCTTCTATTGACAGACATCTACCCTGGTAGAGAAATGAGATGAAACTTTCTTTTCATTGTAAAAAGCATTTGAATTCCTAAGGTGTGATAAGGCCTCCCAGCCATCCACAGTCAAGGTACACATTTTCATGGAGGATGTTCCCACTCTTGAATAAATTAAAACAATTTTTTTTTAATTTCATGGAGGATGTTCCCACTCTTGAATAAATTAAAACAATTTTTTTTTTAATTTAAACTTTCTTCTATAACTGTTTTTCTTGTTACTTAAAAACTAGTTTTTTTGAAACTACTTCCAAAGCTTTTCAAGCTATATATGTCCTTGGAATGAATTTATAAATTAGAATTGAGCCCAGCCAGTGTGACTCAGTGGTTTAGCATCGACCTATGAACCAGGAAGTCACAGTTTGATTCCAAGTCAGGCCACATGCCCGGATTGTGGGCTTGATCCCCAGTACGGGGCGTGTAGGAGGTAGCCGATCAATGATTCTCTCCCATCATTGATGTTTCTTTCTTTCTTTCTTTCTTTTTTTTTTTCTAAAATATATTTTATTGTTTTTTTACAGAGAGGAAGGGAGAGGGATAGAGAGTTAGAAACATCGATGAGAGAGAAACATCAATCAGCTGTCTCCTACACGCCTCCTACTGGGGATGTGCCCGCAACCAAAGTACATGCCCTTGACCGGAATCAAACCTGGGACCCTTCAGTCCACAGGCCGACGCTCCATCCACTGAGCCAAACTGGCCAGGGCTCATCATTGATGTTTCTATCTCTCTCCCTCTCCCTTCCTCTCTGAATCAGTAAGAATATATTTGAGAGAGAGAGAGAGAGAGAGGGAGGAGTGTATATGTTTGTAAATAACAAAACATGTATTTGATGCTCTTAGAAAGTCTTATTTTCTTTCATTAAAACTTGTGCAGTATAGGGAACTCCATAGATTCTTTTAATTTGAAGAAAGTTAGAGGGAAAGGTACTAATTCAGAGTTCCTTGGGAAAATGTGTCACATATATTTTTTTATGTTTATTTTTTTAATCAAAAACTGAAATATTTTCTATTCAGAAAATATATTTGGATCTAAATATCTTCTATAATTTAAAACCTAAAATATCAATTTAAATATTTTAAAAATGGTTGGGATGTTTGTTTTTTTTAAATAAGTTAGGTTACTGAAGTTCAACATGTTACTGGATCACCTGGGGTAATTTTCTGATTGGAAAATTAAGAATTATAGTCAGAGGGGAGGACATGAGAATTTTTAAAGAACATGTTCAATTTACTTTAGAAGCCGAACCTCTCTTATCATGTGACTTGTTTTGTATGTTTGTTATACTATATTATCACATAAGCATTGCTGCTATTGGAACAAACAGTGACAGTTGATTCGGGTCATTTGAATGTCCACTGTCTGTTTTAATTTGTATGTTTTTTTTGACACTGTCATATGCTCAAACTTCAGTGGAAGTCATGAGAACCTATTATTTTTGCCTGCTCCCTCCTTAACTTTGGAAATATTCTTTTTTACTCAGAGGGACCTTAACTTTGAAGTAAGGGATTGTTTCCGTGGACAACTGTTTTCTTCCTTGCCAAGAAAGACAGTTGTTGTGAACTCTTCGTGATGCCTTCCCCAGGATATTTGCAGATATGGTTGGGAAAAGTCATTTCAGGTGTACAACATTTCATCCCCAACCTTTGCATCTCAGGTGCTGAGGTGCTGGGGGTGCCATGGTGATCACGGGGAAGCAGGCCAGCCAGCACCCTTGGCCCGGGGTCCGGGGGTGCCGGCTGGCCTGCACCCGGGCTCTCTCTGCCTCTGATCGCCATGGCGATCATGGGCAAGCAGGCCCCAGGGGGTCCAGGGATGCCAGCTGGCCTGCGCCCAGGCTCTCTCTGCCTCCGATCCACAATGCGATCACCGGATCCTTTGCCCACCCCCCACCTCTTGCCTGCTGCCTGGGTTTCCGATCCCTTTCGCCTCCCAGGATTGTGCCTATGCATGCAAATTAACCGCCATCTTTGTTGGCAGTTAATTTGCATATCACCCTGATTAGCCAATGGGAAGCGTGTCGGAGGTACAGTTAATTACCATGTTTGTCTATTATTAGATAGGATAACATCATATTAGTTTCAGGTGTACAACATAATGATTTGATATATGAATATATTCCAAAATGATCACTGCAATAAGTCTATTTAACATCCATCACCACACAGTTACAAAATATTTTCTTGTGATGAGATCTTTTAAGATCTACTCTTTTAGCAACTTTCAAATGTACAATACAGTATTATTAACTACTAGAGGCCTGGTGTATGAAATTCGTGCATGGGTAGGGGGTCCCCTCAGCCTGGCTTGCACTCTCTCCAATCCAGATCCCTCTCCCAATCTGGAACCACTGGCTCTTAACCGCTCACCTGCTTGCATACCTGATGCCCCTAACTGTTCTCCCCTGCTGGTCTGATCCCCCTAACTTTTCTCCCCTGCCAGCCTGATCCCCATAACTGCCTAACTGCTCTCCCCTCCTGATCTGATCCCCCTAATTGCCTAATTGCCACCTTCTCCCTTCTCCCTTCTCGCGCGGTGCTGGCCTTCTCCCTTCTGCTTTCTCCTGCAGCGACTTTTCCCATGGCCTCTGCAAAAGGGACCATAGCACTGGACCAGCCCTCACAGCCGCTGCGGCTGCAGGCCCTCGGCCCTTGCAGCTGCTGTGGCTTTGTCTGGAAGGATGTCTAATTAGCATATTACCCTTTTATTAGTATAGTCACCATGCTGTATACTACATCCCTAGGATATATTTATTTTATAATTTGAAGTTTGTACCTTCTGACCTCCTTTAGCCATTTTGCCCACCCCACATTCCCTCCTTCTGGCAACCACCAATCTGCTCTCTCTATGTGTGATTTTTAAAAAATATTCCACATATAAGTAGAAAGAGTACACTCTAAAATAATGATATAAAGAATAGTATAGTAAATACATAAACCAGTAACATTGTCTTTTATAATCATTACCATGTACTATGTAGTGAACATAATTGTGTGTGCTACACTTTTAGATGACTGCAGTGCAGTAGGCTTGTTTACAGTAGCATCAGCACACACATGTGAGTAAGGCATTGAGCTACAATATTATGATGGCTACAAAGTCACTAGGCAATAGGAATTTTTCAGCTCCATTATAATCTTACTAGAAGCCCGATACATGAAATTCGTGCAAGAGTAGGCCTTCCTTCCCCCGGCTGCCAGCACCAGCTTCTCTCCAGCACCCAGGAGCTGGGCTTTCCTCACAGCCCCAGCTTCATCCAGAAGGTCATCTGGAAGGATGTCTGGAAGGACATCTGGTCTAATTAGCATATTATACTTTTATTATTATAGATGGGAGAACCGACATATATACAGTCTGTCATTGACAACAATTTTATGCAGCTCATGAGTGTATTTCCTAATGCAGTCCTTTACATGTTATCTAACCACAACTGTAGGTCAGTGCATGAAATTCTGTATCACCAATATTTGGTCCATTAAAAGATGTTGTGTGTGTTTATATAATCCCTATTATTCCCTACTCAATTGTTTGCTTCAAACCAGTCTGTGTTTATTGTTCCACGTGCTTCCTGTTTCCCTGTTTCGCCTTCTCCCTCCTGTCTGACTGGGAGGGTCTCTCCATCACTCTCTGTGTGTCTGCTCCACCCTTGCTATTCTGTGTCTGTTTGTGTACTTCACTTGGAATTTAGCATGCATACCTTCTTTTTTTGTTTGTTTTGTGTGTAAAGACTGCTTTCTAGGTTGGATTTGAGCCAAAAAAGTGCAGAAATCAAAAAACCACACACACACAAAAATAATGAGTAGACTTTTTCTTTTTGTTATTCCCCATTTTCTTCCTTGTCTTCCTCTTCTATGTAGGAGAACTGGGTTTGGATCTGTACTGAAGGCAGTTTAAGGGATTAAGTTTGCTTAGCTATTTTTAGCCTTAAACTTCATGGTGATTAAGTTGACATTCATTTCTGTCAACCCCTATTTCATCAGTGTAAAGCTACTACATCAACACATTTCCATAGAGATTGACATACACTCCAGCATTCTCCTCCTCTTCAGAGCAGAGAAGTCAGATGTCCATCAGTCACAGGAGAAGTGCTCACTGACCCTGGCATTCCTGCTCCATGCAATACCAATCAGCACTGACAGAGCACCTCCCTGTTCCAGGCACTCAGCTGGTTACAGTGAGGAGTCAGTGATGGATAAGAGGCCTCTACTCCTGCGGAAGGCAGTACAGGGCAGCACTTACAACATAGCCTTGGATTCAGGCAGACCTTATCCTTATGAGCTGTGTGAACTTGGACTTATTATTTAACTGTCCTTGGCCTTAATTTCCTTATCTGTAAAATGAGGATGAATCATAGTACCACCTCAAAGGGTTGTTTGATGAGAAAATGATATAATTCTTTTAAAGCACTTATCAAGGAGACTGATAGAAAGAACAACTGTCAATAAATATTATCGACAGTAATTATGCATAAAAG